CCATAGCAGAGAGCTGGATTGGAAGTAGAGCAGCCGGGACTCGAACTGGCGCCCATATGGGCTGGTGGCACTGCAGGCTATGGCTTTACCCTCCACATCACAGCGCTGGCCCCTGCTTTAAAGTCTTAGAAGCACTCGAGAGATGACTTCCGGTTTACTGGAGGATGGCGCATAGGGAATGTGCAGGGGCTGTGCCGTTTTCTATAAGGGGCGGAGCATCCTTGACATCTGCTCTGTGTGTGTGTTTCTGTGTGTCTGTGTATATGTGTGTGTGTCAGTGTGTGTGTATGTCTCTGTGTGTATATGTCTGTGTGTGTGTGTGTGTATGTGTCTGTTTCTGTGTGTCTGTGTGTTGGTATGTATGTCTCTATGTCTGTGTGTGTGTGTCAGTTTGTGTGTCTGTGTGTATATGTGTCTGTCTCTGTGTGTGTCTGTGTGTGTGTGTGTGTGTGTGCTGGGTTCCCAGGACTGAGTCTGGGTCAGGCACTGGGCCTGGGCTGTGTGTCTTCAGGCTGAGCCTGCGCGGTCACAGGCTGTCATGGCAGGAGCCCGTGATGGTCGTGTCTTTACGGACTTGTCTCTGGTTGGTTTCCGCGCCTGCCCCGGCAGGGAGGGGCTCCAGGTGGGCCTGGCGGGCCACCCCCGCCCGCCCCGGTTTCCTGGTATATTAGGAAACTCATTTGTGCTGCCGCCGCTCTCAGCACAGTTAGCGAGGTCGAGAGAGGTCTCGGCCGCTTGGGGACGAGGCAGTGACGCTGTGTGGCTCTTGTGCCGTGATCGCTACGTTCTTTGCCAAGTTGGGGTCTTGTTTATTTGTTTATCTATAATTCATTTGAGAGGGAGAGAGACTGAGACACTGCACATCCCCTGGCTCACTCCCCAAATGCCTGGGAGCCAGAAACTCCATTCAGGTCTCCCAGCGGCCAACCTGCTGCTGGCCAGGGTGCCCGTTAGCAGGACGCCGGAGCTGGGACTTGAGCCCAGGCTCTCTGATACGGGATGCGGTCACCCACGTGGTGTCAACCTCGGAGCCTGCCCAGAGTTCACCAAGATTTGGCATTGATTCCCTAGCTGCCCAGCAGGCTTCGTTAAGTGAAGATTCTGGTCTCTGGCTTTTCTTTGGAGGTGCCGTTTGGATTCCTGGTGCGGGCTCCGTGTTGGTAGGTCTGTTCATAGTTAACTTCTTCTCGAGTCATTTTTGTGGGTTTGCTTGTTTCTAGCGATCTGTGTGTTTTCTGATCTGCTGGCTTCATAGTATCCTCTTGCAATGGTTACTCTTCAAGTTTGTTAGTATCGTCCCCTGTTTCACTCCCAACTGCGGATTTGAGCGTCTCTCTGTCTTCCCAGTCAGTTCAGCTAAAGGTGTGTCAGTTTTGTTGATCTCGCCTAGGACACGGCTTTTGGTTTTCCTGCATCTCTCCATTGTTTTTCAATTCTCCATTCCATTTATTACCACTCTAATCTAAATTTCCTCCTACTTCCCACGTAACCTTTTTGGGTTTTGTTTGCTCCTCTTTTTCATGTCACTGAAGGTGGAAGATTAATGTATTATTAATAATTATTATTAATATAATTTAAGGTCTTTTAAAGCTAGATTTTGGCATCGACAGCTATACATTTTCCTCTGAGCACTGCGCTTACCACACCTTGTAAGTTTAGCCTTGTTGTGTTTTCATTTCGTTGCTCTCTGAGAATTTCCTCATTTCTTTTGTGGGTTTTATGGCTGACTCATCAGTTATCTGGGTGTGTCGTTTTATTCCCCCGTGTGTGTGAATTTCCCGAGTGTCATTCCATTGCTGATTTCTAATTTCCGCTGCAGTTGGAGAACGTCCCTCGTGCGACGTGAATCCCTTTAAATGCGTTCAAACTTGTTTACTTGCCTAACGGGGGTCCCTCACACGAGGCCTTGTGGATACACTTGGTATGTGCCACTTTGCACTGTGTAAGCCGCTGGTCTACCCAGGGCTGCTCTCTCTCTCTGCTGTGAACATGTCCTGTTTTGGGTGGTGTCTTTTGGAGCTAATTCGCCTACAGTGTGGTTCAAGTCTGGTGTTGATCTAATGGCCCCGCCAGTTATTGGTAGTGGAGCACTCGGGTCTCCAACTATTGCTGTTGAATTTTCTTTCCCTCAGTCTCTCAGGTTATGCTTTGTGTATTTTGAGACTCTTGTGTTAGGTGTATGTGTTTATTCTTGCGATATGGTCTGGGCAGATGTATGTCGGATAGCCGCCTTTGCAGTAACAGTTTTTGTCCTGATGTCTGTTTCGCCAGATATTTACTAAACCACTCCAGCTCTCTCCTGGTTGCTGTTTGCATGATTTGTCTTTTTAAGTCCTTTTACTTCTGTTCGTTTACATTTAGTGTAATGTTATTTCATATGTATCTTTTCAAGGTAGGACTTAGGTCTGTCACATTGCTGTTTGTCTTCTGTGTGTCTCACGTCTTTTTCTCTATTTCTCCATTATTTCTTTCCTTTGCAATACATAGGCATGTTCCAGTGTCTCATTTTTAGTCTGCCTTTTTTTTTTTTAGTACACAAATATGTCTGTGCCTTTAAACCAACTCTCTGTATAGCGACCCGGGCCGTGCTGTTCCCGTGTGTGTGGTTCCAGCGTGGTGCGGCAGACCCTCTTGTACTGGGGAGTGCTACCACGGAGTCTCTCGGTCTTCAGAGTCCACAGTTTGCTGAGGGCTTGTGCCTTTTCTCCACTTTTGCATCTTTGCTCCTCAGCTTGGATAATCTCTTGACTTACCTTCCAGTTCAGGGTATTTTCCCTTTTTTCTTCCTAATACTTATTTTTAACTGACACACAGTTATACGTATTTGTGACATACCCGTCAGGAAAGAAGAGGCAGAGCCGAAGCCACAGCCCAGGTTTAGTCGGTGGAATAAAGCCTGGGAGGGGCTCACTCTGGGGGAACACGTGGTGGAGAGAGCGCCCCCTCCTGGACAGACTAGTGGGTTCTGTAGTGCAGCGTGGCTGCGAGGGACGTGGGCGTCTGAGCTAGAGCTGGACTTGGGCCCGTTGTAAAAGTCCTGGAGATCACAGTGGGAGCTGAGGCCGGACTCGGGCTGCTGAGATGGGGGAGCGAGCTTGGGAGGAGTGGGGGGAGGCCAGGGTGATGGCGGGACTCTTCAGGGAGGGGTGTGTCCAGCAGTCCATGCAGGGTGGGGCTGGATCACAGGGCAGAGGCCTGGGGCCTGGCTGTGATGTAGGCGAGAGGTCACCATAGATCCCCGCTCCGTCAGTGGGACGTTTTGATACATATATGCACCGTGTACTGTTCATATCTATCTTTTCAAACTTTTAGCACTTCTTTGTGGCGAAAACCCTCAACACCCTTTCTCCTTACTTTTTTGAAATGTAAATAATTGTTCTGCCCAGTCAGATCAGCTGTGAGCTCCTCTAAGAAATGCCTTCTGGCTGTACCTTTTAGCATTTCCTTTTGGTTGCTTTTAAAGCTAATGTTAATCTCTCTGCTGACATTCCCAGTCTGAGTAGAGATCGTGGTAGTGCTTGGAGCATACGTCCAGTTTCCGTCTGGTCAGCCTGACATGTGGGTTTCCCGGGCACACCCTCAGCTGCTCCCGTCCTGCACGGCGTCCGTGCTTTCCTGCCTCTGCCTGACCCTTGGGTTTGGTTGGAAAGGGGACGTTTTAAATAACACAGTGTGGCGGCTCCGGGAACGGGATTCCTCCCTCTGCCCAGCGCTTCCCCCTGCCACCGCTCGTTGACTGAGTGCAAGCAGTCAGTTGTCGCATGTGGCCCCTGAAATCCCTGCTTAGCGGTCTGCTGGAGGCGGCTTCGAGGTTCCCGGGGGCCCTGTGCGTCTTCTGCCACCAGGGCGGCACTTGACAAAGGGTCCCTAGCCTCCACCTCTGCCCTAGGCTGCCCCATGCGAGGGTAGGAAGTTCAGTCCCCGGCGCGTCTTCCTAAGCTTTCCCGTTGGTCTGTCCCAGCCGTGACCCAGGGCCAGTGGCCAGGAGGCTCATTGATTGGCAGTGTCTCCCCCACCCCGGCAGGCGTCTAAGAGCCATGAACTCCAAGTTGCGTGACATACAGGGGGCCCTATGGGGTGGGGCGGGGTCTTCCAGGGAGCCCCAGAGGGGTGAGGTAGCAGCACCCTCCAGGCCGCTGGTTCGCTCGGAGGGAGAGGTGAGTATGAAGGTTGCAGGCCAAGGTCACCATGGCTGGGATTCAGCCACTATTGTTGGATAGTGACTCCCTGGGTGGCTGCGTTCTGGCATTCTGTAACCCCCTTGATTGAGAGAGCTTGGCAGGTTTTCTAGTTCAGTTGATGGAAGAGGGTTTTTCAGCAGTCCTGGCTCCCCTGCTGCGGCTGCCTCCAGCTCATATCCACCTGCTTCTAGAACGTTCTCCCGTAGGATGCTTTGTCTTCACCCCCATGCTAGTGGAACAACTGTCTATGGGGGTGCAGGAGCCCAAGGGAGGGGCTGCGGGTCGGAGGGAGCGGCACCAGCCCGGAGAATTCTGCCCTTGAACCTGTTGCTTTCTTCTCACAGGTGGGGGCCACCAGGGGGCCTATCTGCACGCAGATGGAAGGGACGAAGCCCCGGCAGCGGAGGCCCGAGGGCTGCAGTCGGCCAGAGGAGCAGGGGCTGCCGCCCGCGCTCAGCACAGGCGGACCCCCCGCGGCCTCAGAAGATGGACTTCAGAGGGTCCCTGCGTGCCAGCTCGCGGCCCCCAAGCCCACCGACCCTGAGGCCGGCAGGGAGACAGCCTGGACCATTGGGCTGCAGGTGGCGCCGCCCTTTCTGTGTGCCGGCCTGGGGCTGTCCTGCGCGGGCGTGCTGCTGGACTACTTCCAGGTGAGTGGGAGCTGAGTGGGGTCGCCAGCCTCTCTGTGTCGCCCAGCGGGCGCGCACCTGCTGTTAGACTCAGCTTCGTGGGCCCGGGGGTGGCCTCATCGGGTACCACTTTGTGTATTGGGCAAGATTCTTTTTTAAAGATTAGTTTTATTTATTTGAAAGGCAGAGTTAGAGAGAGAGAGAGAGATCGATCGATCGATTGATCTATCGATCTTCTATTGCTGGTTTTCTTTCCAAATGGCTGCAGCAGCCAGGGCTGAACCAGGCTGAAGCTAGGAGCCAGGAGGTTCCTCCAGGTCTCCCATGCAGGTGCAGGGGCCCAAGCACTTGGGCCATCTTCCACTGCTTTCCCAGGCCATAGCAGAGAGCTGGCTCAGAAACAGAGCAGCAGGACTCGAACCGGCGCCCATGTGGGATGCTGGTGTCGCAGGCGGTGGCTTTACCTGCTGTGCCACAACGCCGGGTCTGGTTGCTTGCATTTGTGCCATGTGGCCTTTCCATCTTCCAAGCCGGCAGTGGAGAAGCGTCCCTTATGTGGAGTCCCTGTCACGTCCCCATCTCTGACCTCAGGAAGCACCTGCCTTTCTTGGAGGGCTCACCTGGCCCAGGCCAGCTCACTCGGGCTCGCCTCCCTTCTCTGAAGTCCGAGAGAGTTACTCTCTGGAATGCACAGAACAGGCAGGGGTCCAGAGTCTAGAAAACAAGAAAGAGGGGTGCAGTGGTCAGGATGCCCGGGCCCCAGGGGTAGCATGGAGTTACCGTGATGTGCACACGTCAGGGAGCACTGGGAGGGTCTTCAGGCAGAGACCCCAGCCCTGCAGAGACACACATCAGCCTAGGAAGGCTGGGAGGCCCAGCGGGCTGCCTGGAGGAGGTTACACAAGGGGAGGGAGGGAAGCTGGTAGGAGACACAGGCGGAGCGGGGTGGCCTGTTTATCCATGTAAGGTGGAGGGATCCCGCCCGGAGGTTAGGGGGGTGGTGGACACAGCACCTCCTGGGTGGGCGAGAGCCACAGCGGCTTCTTTCCATACATCGCAGCGTGCGCAGGAGGCGGCCCCACGCCCTGCGGGGCCACACGGGGAATTGCGCTCCTGGGCAGAGCGGCGCAGGCGCTGTGGTTCCAGCAGGTGGCGAGCCCTGCCTCCTCCCGGGGCCTCGTCTGAATGACTCTATGAGGCAGCAGGACTGAAGGCCAGGGCTCAGGGTGAGCAGGGACAGTGCCTGCGCTGTGATAAGGAGCAGGGCTTGGCCCGGGGCCCTTATCTGTGGGAGCAGAGCCTGGTGGGGAAGTGGCCGCTCGCGGTCCTCCTGCTTTGCCCAGACGGCAGCAGTGAGCTCACCCGCAGTGGCCCCAGCTCTCCTAGACACTGCCTAAAAGCTTGGCGGTGGCGAGACCATGGGGGATAGAAGCGCCTGCCTTGGCGGGTTGTTGACCAGGAGGGAGGGGGCCTCTGGGCCGGTGAGGACATTTGGGGGACCTGGTGGTGTGGCTGTGGGGTGCACGGATGAATCGTGCCTGTGGCACTAGCGGCAGCGGGCAGGGGTCTGTGTGCCTCCTTGGGAGGTGCGGATGGCGCCACCGCCTGGCCACAGCATCCCGTCCCAAGTGACTGCTTAAGGTTTAGCCGCCAGTGCTCACCCCGGGTGGGCCTCGCCCTTGCCTGGAACTTTCTGGAGGAGAGATGGAGAGCAGTGGCCCCCCACCGAGCTCCGCCACGGGTTACAGTGGCAATGCCAGCCACGGAGGGTCTGTGTGGTTTCTGTTGCTGCCCCATCCCCCACGCATCCCCAGGTAGCCAAAGGCTCTTGGGGTGGACCAGCTCCTGGCAAGAAACTGAGCCCAGGGAGACTGCTGCCCCCTGCAGGTGGGATGTGCCAGAGGGTGGAGACTGGGCTCTGTCCTGTCGGAAGGAGGCCTTGCTGGGCTTGGGTGCTGTCCCAAAGGCGGGACAGGCAGCCAGCAACGGAGCTCACAGGCGGGGAGCCCGTGGGAGCCTGTTTCAGGAGAGCCCCGCATGTGGCCGGCAGCAGGACAGCCCTGCGTGTGGCCGGCAGCAGGACAGCCCCGCGTGTGGCCGGCAGCAGGACAGCCCCGCGTGTGGCCGGCAGCAGGAGAGCCCCGCGTGTGGCCGGCAGGACAGCCCTGCGTGTGGCCGGCAGCAGGACAGCCCCGCGTGTGGCCGGCAGAAGGAGAGCCCTGCGTGTGGCCGGCAGTAGGAAGCCCCATGTGTGGCCAGCAGTAGCTACCCCATCGGTGCCTGGGGTGGCACTGAGGAGGGCATTTGCCGTGTGGACAGAGACAGCGTTGCAGCCGCTGTGTGTGGTCTGGACGCCCTGCGAGCTGATCAGGAGCTGGCCAAGCCCCGCTCCCTGGCGAAGCAGCTGTGAAGGCACTCGGAGGAGGAGTGACAGCTTCTGGAAGCTTTAACTGGACGGGGTCCGTTCAAGAAGCCAGTTAGCAGGTGGCAGCGTCCCCGGGTGGAAGAAATAGACATGTCAGCTGCAGGACCCCGAAAGGCCTGGGAGACGCCGGACTTGCCCAGAGGGTCCCCCGCTGCCTGTTCCCTGCGTCAGGTGGAGCGGCGCCCCGTGTCCCGGGTCGTCTTCAGGAAGTTCGTCAAGGCAGGAGGCCTTGCTCGTAGGGTAACGGGAGCGCCTCGTGACTTGCTTGTGTGCCCGCGGTGTGTCCTCAGGTGGACCTCGTCGGAGGAGGACGACATGTGGGTGGTCTCACACCTGTGCTGTTAAGCTCTCCTCAGCAAAGGCTGCGGGGGATGGCGGGGCTGTCAAGGGGCCTCCTGGGTGGCCTGGAAAGAGCGTGTTGTTTCTCTTTGGAGGTGAAGGTCATTGCCGCTGAGAGGCTGTTGATTAGCAGCCAAAACTGAGCAGCAGAATATTTACTGGTGGCTCTGGAGGTCTTCACAGATGGGACGGCCACATTAAGGCTGTGTCCCTGCACCGTGCGCCTCCATTCATTCTTCCCAAGCTAAGGGAGAGACCAGATTGGACTGGTGAGCAGCAGAGTCATCATCACATCTTCATTAAGTGAGTCTCGTATAATCAGTGTCACTTCTTGAAGGTCACGTTGGAATTCCATCGGGTGGTGCTAACTGTCTCAGCTGGGACTGGGTCCGCGGGGTCCCCTCTTGTCATGAGGCAGGGCAGGGCGCAAGAGGTGGGAGCACCTGCCAGACACAGGCGACCCGTGAGGGCCCTTATTTCTGGGCGGTCAGTGGTAGTGCTTGCTTGGGGTAAGAAGGCCCCTGGGGTGGGGCGGAGGAAGGAGACGGGGAGCAAGTTCAAGGTCAACGGCCAGCTGGTGATTGGCAGTTGCATCCTGAGCAGCCTTGGCCTGTCAGGGGACCAGTTAGTTAGCAATTAGCGGGTAGTTAAACTGCCCAGGTGCCCCCCAGTCGGGTTGGAGTGTCTGCACACCTTGCCAGTTGGGGAGGGAGGGGGCCTCGCCCAGGGACATGGGGATGGCGAGCCTGGGACACCCCGCCCTGCGCACATGAGAGTGACAGCAGGTTCTGACTCCCACGCACGCACAGCCTGGGGAGAGGCCAGCACAGGCCTGTGAGGCCACACCGAAGGTTGCATTCGGGGGCAGAGTGGCCAGCAGACTTTGTCGTGCGAGGAGTGTGGCCAAGCCTACGGGAGCGCGGGATCACCTTTCTTAAATAATTCCGTGAGGGACAGGACTGAAACCCACGGCAGGGGGCATGGGGCATGGTCCCCTTGACCAGGAGGGGTGTGTGGCAGGGCCTTGTCCACGGGAGCCTGTGGCCAGGCCATGTGAAGCCCCTTTGGTTTCACCAGGGGCGGAGGCCGTACACCCTCCTCCTGGTGGGTGTGGCTGAGTTTTCTAGCATTCTGCTTATTGGCGTAGTCATCTCTCAGGCCACGTGTGAGTGTGTGTGCTCAGGGCTGTGCTGGTCCCCGGAGCAGGGCCTGGCCCTCGGGCTGCCCACCCTGGGGAGTGGCAGGTGGCAGGTGTGGAAGTCAGGGCCCAGCCGCTGTGCTGGACAGAGAGGCAAGCTGCCCGCCAGCTGAACCGCGACAGGAGCGGCTGGGAGGAGTCCCCGGGGGTTGGGCGTGAGCGATTCCTTCAGTTTCACCTGCGGGCGGCTTTGCCAGCCGAGATCAGAAGAATAAAGAACCTTTCGAGTTCTTCACGTTGCTGACGGGGAGCAGTGGGCTGTCCACGTCTAGGGGACCCCAGGAAAGGACTAGCAGCAGGACTGGCAGGCCTGCCCTTCCCAAGGCCTCTGCCCGCCTGTCACTGTCCCTGGACCCCCTGCTAAAGTCTCTCACACACTCCCTCCCCCGGCAATGAAGGGGTTGGAGGAGCTGACCTCGTGCAAGGCCCTGACTCTGAGCTGCCAGGTGCCGAAGCTCCCTGGGGTTCTCCTGAGCCTGGCGGGGAAGCCCCCACGGAGCCCCCCACCCTCTGTGCCTTGGGTTGTGGGCTGGGCTCGAGGCCCGGAGGGAGCCGGGGGCTTGTTCTGGGTCCCCGGGAGATCATGTGATGCCTGACCCAGATGCAGCGCAGCGCGGAGCCCCGTTCACGCCGCTGAGCTATCTTTAAAGTCGCCTGCTCCATCTGCCGCGCGGCGGCCCCGCCGGCCGTGTTGACGGCTCGTGTTCTCACGTGCCGCCGGAGAGTCGTGTTTCCCAGCGGAGTGCTCGTGTCACTCACACGCTGCGTCTTCCCACGTGGTCACTCCTTTCACTCAACACGATTAGTGTTGGTGACAGGCTGTTTTTGGATGGCTTTGAAGAAAACTACGGAATTGTCAGAGAGTACAGAAAATTATAAAGGGATGCAGAGGTCGGTCTGTGTAGTCTTTCTGTAAAGTCGTCAGGATTCAGTCCGGGGGCCGGATCTAAATCTAATCATAAATCCCTTCCCAGAGGCCCCACCTCCAAATACGATCCTGGCGTTGGGTTCCCACCCCCTTAGTGCCGCTAACCTAGGACGTCGCGGGTCATGGCAAGGCTCCTAATGGTTGCACGTTCTGTCACACTCTGGGACCACATAGAAAACTGTGGAGTGATGCCTGGTCCCCGGGGGTCGCTGCAGCCGGGCCTGGGGAGCGGGGCTCTCACCGCAGGTGTTCAGCGGCCAGAGACACCGGGCCAGGCTAGAGGGACCTCCCTTACACTGGCCGACTTCGGTGACGTCTCCCTCGGGAATGGGCCGTTTCTTGTGGCCCTCTACTGGTCAAACTCTCGCTGGAGCAAGCTGAGCCAAGCCGTGGCTGGGGTAGCAGTGGCAGGCGGGGGGCGCAGGGGCCGGGAGGGAGGGTGGAGAGTCTGAGACTCCTGCCAGGAGTGAGTGAGGGTCTTAGGCCCCTGATGCTCACCTGCGTGTGGTAGTGGGCCACTGCGCCCCCTCCTGGGGCCTGCCTTTTCCCACTGGCAAAAACAGAAGGTCGCACTTCCTGTGAACATCTTAGCAGTGTTTTGAGAGTCCACTGAGAAAATGTGGAATGGCCTTGAGAAACATGGACTGCTACAAAGGGAACAGCAGGCCAGCCATCCGTCCATCTGTCCGTCTGTCCGTCCACCTGTGCCTCCATCCTTCTATCCACCCACCTATCTGTGGGTCCATCTTTCCTTCCATCCATCCACCTGCCTATCTTTGCGTCCATCCCTCCCCCATCCATTCATCCGTCCATCCCTCTATCCATCTCTCCGTGCCCCCCTCCTTTCACCCATCCACCCGTATGTCCGTCTGTCCGTTGATCCACGCACCCACCCCTCCATCCCCCATCCATCCACACATCCATCCCCTCATCTACCTGTATGTCCGTCTGTCCGTTGATCCACGCACCCACCCCTCCATCCCTCTGCGGGCGGAGTGCTTGCCTGTGGTTGAACCTGCTCTGTGCTCTCGTTAGTCCTGGCTTCCTTCAGAGCACTCACCACAGGCCACCTTTGCATTTTCATCTTTAGGATTAGCTACAGAACTGGGAAGCTCCACACACATCTGCTTGGGTCTCGAGCGTGCCCTGGCACTTAGACCAGCGCCTGGAAAGGAGTGGGGCCGTGAGTTCCATGCTGCGGAGTAAACCCGTGCGTCACTCCCCGCTCTGAAGATCCCAGCATTCCAGTCCCACGGGCTCCCTTCTTGGCGGGGGGGTGGGGTGGGGTGGGGGGAGTAGGCACGCGTGCAAATGCCTGCTTCTCTTGGGCCACAGTGGGACCTGCCCCTAGGGAGGTGCAGAAAGAGGACCGTGGAAACCCTGGGGGAAACTGAGGCAGCACCTTGGTTGGCCCTGGGCCACGTGGTGCCCCGGAGAGTGGAGGAGCGTGGGCAGAGCCCGTGTGAGGCTCCGGGAGAAGTCCTGCGTGTGCAGGAATTCTTTATTTATTTCAAAGGCAGAGCGACAGGGAGACAGAGCAAGATCCTCCATCTGCCTGTTCACTCCTCAGATGGCCACGACAGCCAGGGTGGGGCCGGGCCGAGGCCAGGGGCCAGGTGTTACATCCGACTCTCCCATGTGGGTGGCAGCGGCCCAAGCACTTGGGCCATCTTCTGCTGCTTTGCCAGGCCATTAGCAGGGAGCTGGATCAGAAGCACAGTAGCCGGGACTCGAACCAGCGCCCATAGGGGATGCCGGCACCACAGCAGGGTTCTCTGTGCTACGCGGCAGCGCCGGCCCTGAATACCTCTTTCTTAGGTCGTGAGCGAGTGGCCTCCTCACTGCACGGACGTGGCCTGTTCATGGGAAGACTGCGTTGGCTTTGGTGGGACGACGGGTTGGAGGTGACGAGGGTCATGGGGAGGTGGCGTCCTTGGGCTGCAGCAGAGGACAGAGATGGGGGAGGGTTGGATTTGGGCGCAGGAAGGGTGGACATGTAATTGAGTGAGGTGCACTTTTCTGACGGAACCAGTCCCAAGGCAGGGAGCCCGGGGGGAGGGGGTTTAGGAAGGAATGATCGTGAGAGACTTGGGTCTGGGGGACTGCCTGTCTGCGAGGTGGTCCGGAAGCTCAGGGAAGGACCTGGGCTGCAGTGAGGGGCGTCTGGGGGTTGCTGGCGTATCTGAAATGCGCGGGATCAAGGGTGGGGATGAGGCCTGCTAGCAGTTCTCTGCTCGCTGCTCTGCCGTGTGGGCCAGGTTCAGCGCAGCGGCCGCTCTGCCCTGTGCGGCGGCCGTGGCTGCCGGGCCCGGCCGGGAGAGTGCACTCATGTGACGGGGGGAGCTGTTGCTGCGACCTTGACCGCGCTGCTGGCTCCCTTGCCTGGGGCCTCTCGTGCCACAGCCCGGTCCTCCACACAGCACGGGAGCAGAGCATCCCGAGAGGTGGGGGACGGAGCTGCCCGTTCCCTAAGAGACTGACCACACAGCGGCCCTCCTGCAGCGTCCAGCCGTCAGGGCGGTCCCAGCGCGGAGGGCAAGGTCAGAGACACCGACTTGGAATGGGAAGGGTGCCCAGGAGGTTTGGGCCCCCTCGTGCCTGGCTCCCAGGAGGAGCTGTGGGGTGACCGAGTCAATGGAGGGTATGGGCCAAGGGTCAGCGGGAGCGACGCCGGTGGCCGGGGCGGCAGGCCCTGGAGTTTGTGGGGAGCGCAGCTCGGCCTGTGGAGGTCAGCAGGATTGCTGTTGTGGGGGCGGCACATGGGAACCTTAGCCGGGGTAGGGGGGCTGTCTGACGGAGGAGACCCCTTAAAGCGCCTGAGTGCAGTGGTTTAGATAGGCCTGGACGCGAGGCCTGAGGCGGGGCGGGGTCCCCAGGGGTCATGGCTGTGGCGCTGACTCTCAGCTGTGGGCTTCCGCTGTCTGTGGCCTCGATCCCTGCTGCCAGCTGCCCTCAGGCCCGACATTCTGTTTCTGGCGCCTGTGGAATACACAGGGTTCACAGCCAACAATAGAATCCCCAGGGGTCAGAGGTGACTCCCCTGGGCAGGGGCTCATCTTCAGTCCGGGAGAAGGGGGTGCCACTTTGGAAGCACGCTGGCGTGTCCCCGGGGCTGCATCTCCCCTGGGAACATGGCCCTTGCCTGTGGCCATGGGCCCCTCCCTGGACACTGCCACGGAAGTGACCACAGGGTGTGGCTTTCTTCTGCAGACCTGCCGACTCCCTGAGGGCCTGTGGCACTGCCCCAAGGACATGGATCCTCTGAACTGAGGTCTCCCAGGCCCTTCCATGCCCAGAGCGGGGCAGCCCAGGACACACGTGCAGAGGGCGGCGGCCAAGCCCGTGTGGGCGCTCACCGAGGCCAGGCCCACGTGGGCTCTGTTTGTGCCCAGGCTGAGCCCGCGTGGGCCGGGCTGCCGGACGCCGTCAAGGTCACTGCTGAGGGACAGCGAGCCTCCCTGGCAGGCAGGCAGCCACTCCCGGAGGAGCACCTGCCTGGGGGTGTGGACAGCAGAGGCTGGCCGAGGCGGGGTGCCACGCTGGCCTGTGTCCCTCTCTCGTCTGCCCTGGCTCTCAGCTGAGGCGCCGTCGGGACCCTCCACAGGCGCAGGGCCCCGGGAAGCCCGGATCTGCGTGGACGTCCTGGGAAGAGCATCCCCACGCGTGGCCGAGGCAGAGAGCAGACCCGAGGCCCCGGGGCTTGGCGCCTCGCCCTGGGAATGTGACCGACGGCCCCACCATGGTGGTCACACAGCTGAACCTGAGGTTCCGCTTCCAGAACAGGAAACTGCGCGGCGTCAGCTGTGAGCTCCTCCGGTATCCCCACGGGGTCCTGCCCGAGACCTTCCTCACCATGACGGGCCAGGTCGTGCTGCCCATCCTGCTGTCCACTCTGGGCATGATGACAGCCGGCCTGGTGATGAACACAGTACAGGTGCGTGCGGGGCACCTGGGGCAGGGGGAGCAGGAGCCCAGGTGGCCGGGCTCCACGGCTGGGGCCAGGCTGGGACCCCGACGGGCAGCAGCCAAGCCTGGCCTGACCGCACAAGGGTCCTGGATGCTGGTGGAGCTGGCGGGAGGGTCCCCCCTCCTCCATTCCTTGACCCCTGAGGTTCCCAGAGCATCCTGGTGATGACGCTCCCTGAAGGTTAGCCGCGGGAGGCCCGTCGTGCTGTGGGGGTGGGCAGGAGCTCTGACCGCTGCCTCCCCGTGCTGTGGGCTCCTCAGGCAGCGTCCGCTGCTTGCAGGTGGGGGATTTGGCGGCTCCTGGCCTTGGTTTCCCTGACAGTGAAATGGCCTGCCTCACTGAGTGCCGAGGCCCAGGTGGTGTTGTGGTCCCAGGGGGATGGGATGGGGGATGGGAGTCCTCCCACCCTGGGTCCTCACGGGGGTGTTGGGGGGAAGCATGAGGTGGGGAGCCGTGCCCGGGCCCCAGGTTCTCTGAGCCCGTTGTTCCTCGTGGGCCATTGCCGCCCTGGGCTCGGCTCTGCTCATGTGTCTGGATCGGTGAGATTTTTTTGGCTTTGTCCACTTCAACTTCCATCGTCCAGTTGCCGTATCGTTCTAGAATGAAACTAGAAAGCAGGCGAATGCCGCAGAGGCTGGCCTGAGTCTTGGCGTCTTGGTGTGGATCAGGTTTCCGCGCACAAGGAGTTCCGCTGTGTGAGACGGCTTTGTGACCCCAAGATCACGCTTACACCTAGCAGGGCCGGCTGCGCCTCACGCTGCCACGGCGTCTCCCTGCTGGAGCAGGGTGCACGGTGCCCAGAGGGCTTCCCAGCCTCTGAGTGCCAGCTCACACGCTCTGGGGGCTTCTCCCCGCGCCGCCCGGTGTGTGGGACCCCGAGCCTGTCTCAGGGCTGAGGGGCTGGCCCGCTGTCAGGAGACCCAGTGCCTCTGTGGGATTACGACCCGAAGCCCTGTCTTCCCCCCGGCAGCTTCACCCATGCCCGGACACCACCTTGCTGGCACTGGGCTGAGCCTCTGTTGTCACCACGTTTACGGCCGCCTTTGGGGCAGCAGCACAGTGAACCTGGCCCCTCCTGTCGTTGCCACCTGCTGATTCACTCCCCAGATGCTGATGACGGCTGGGGCTGGGCCAGGCCCCAAGCCAGGAGTCAGGAACCGGGGACTCCATCCACGTCTCCCAAGTGGGTGGCGGGAACCCAAGTACTTGAGCCGTCACCTGCTGCCTCCCCGAGTGTGCCCTGGCAGGAAGCTTAGTCTGAAGCAGAGATGGAACTTGAACCTGCGCACCCTGATAGGGCAGGGAGGCATCTCAAGTGGCTACTCAACTCTCTGAGCCACCACGGCTGCCCCTGCATGCTTCTTTGTAATGCCCCAGTCTCTGTGGTCTAAGGGGGCATCTGTCAGGTGGGCTGGGCGGGGCTGGAGGCAGTGAGCTGACGCTTGCAGCGCCTGGAAAGGAATTAGGAGAAGCTGAGAGGGGGCCTTGGGGGTACAGGACCCACGAAAGACAGAGACACTGCTGGCAGTGAGATGTGTGGACAGAGACGTGGGGGGGGGGGTGAGAGCGTGCCTGTGTGAAGAGGAGGGGACGGCGGAGGGGCTGGCTGCTGACCTGGGGGGCAGACACTGGGCAGGCGGGAGGTGGAGGAACCGTCTACTCGATCTTAGGTCAGCGCTGAGTACAAGGGGGAAATTGTGTATGTGTGGGTTTAAAAAAAAATCATTTGTTTCAAAATAATATTTGTTTCAGTGTTGTATATTACGGATGTTTAGAAAATCACACAACTCAAAGGCGATGCACCTGTATAACCCGGGCCATCCCCCAGGGGGCGCCACTGCTCTGACTTTAGTCCTGTGGGCTCCTACTGGCTGCTCTTGAGATAGGAGATGGCTCGCAATGTCCTTGGGCACGTGTGGGGGCCTTCCTGTGCGCTGGGTGTATTCTTGGGTGGGACTGGCCGTGAAGGGTTAACCTGGCCGCATTTCATGGTCATATTTGTGCGGTGAAACACGATGCCCTGGAGGGTGAGGCTGGGGGCAGCAGGGGAGAGCTTTTTTTCCGGAGGCCATGACCTCATCCAGAGCCCCCGGGTGCGCGAGCCGTGGTTGCCAAGGAGGCTCGGCCCCACTCAGCGCTGCTGCAGGGGTGGTGCAGGATTTCAGAGTTGCCATGACCTCAGGGGCAGGTCGGGGGGGGGGGCAGGAAAGGGTTAATCCCTGGCTGGCAGAGCAGGGGCTCCCAGTGCGGTAGGTGGGCTGAGGCCACCCAGAGCCACCAGCTCCAGCCCAGGCCAGCAGAAGGTGTCTTTGCTTTGGCTTCAAGGGACAGAAAACCTCACTCACAGTGACTCTGAGAACAAGGGCACGTGGATTCTCTCCATCAGGACGTCCCGAGAACAGACAGCTGCACACTGGTCAGTGCACTGGGCTCATGGCGTCCCCTCCTCTCGCCGCTGCCCCATTTCCCTCCCTCATCTGCATGACAAATCCGCCAGGCTGCAGTGACAAAGCCCCGCCCAGCACTGGCTTGCATGGTGGACACGAGTCCCCGGGCGTGGAGACAGAGGCACAGGCAGCCTTGGCTCCTTGGCCTGCTCCCACCTTCCCTGTGTGTGTACCTGCGTCCCACTCTCCTCATGGGGGTGCCCATCACGGTGGGCAGGCCCGCCCACATGACCCCGTCTGCACGGGGTCTCTCTTTAGTGAGCCCGTCTCTAAGTAGAGCAATGTTTGAGGAAGAGGAGGGTAAGCCTTCGACATGCATTCTGGGGAGGGCGCGGCTCATCCGGTCTTTATTGTCCCCTGCATGGCTGTGGGACGCCTGATGTGACAGGCACAGAGTCTGCCCAGAACTGTGTCATGGCTCACACAGCCACCTGCAAGGACAAGGGACCGCGGGGAGTCCAGATCCCCTCCCCAGCACCCTCCTGAGGCCTCTCGGTGACAGACAGGCCTGCGTGGAGCAGGTGCAGGTGCCGTTGGGGGAGGTGACCCTGGGTGTGCAGGGGAGAACACAAGGCTTGGAGGCAGAGAGTGCGGACAGAAGGGAGAAGGGAAAACAGAGCACGGAGGGAGTCAGACGCAAAGGTCGGGAGTGGACGGGGCCGGAGGTGGCGTTTGCTGGTGGCTAAGATGTTGCTCGTGGTGCCCATATTGGAGTGCCCACCTTGTGTCAGCTCTGCTCCCGATTCCGGCTTCGGTGTCTGAAGTCCCTGGGTCCCTGCCACCTACATGGGAGACCTGGGTTGTGGTCTTGGCTCCTGGTTTCAGCCTGGCCTAGCTCTGGTCATTTGGAGAGTGGCCCGGAGGATAGGAACTTGTTTGCTTTCTCTCTCTCTCTTCACATGCATACCTACCTACGTACATACACGAATAATATTTTTTTTTTAAAGTTCAGGTGGAGGAGGAGGAGGCCCCAGTGCAGGCGGACATGAGCCTTGAAAGGGGCCGGGGTAGGACCGGGAGGGCCTGTCCATGAGGGTCAGAGGGGACAGAGAGTGCTCGTGTCAGGGGTGCTTCCCCATGTTGGGGGGGACAGCGCCACCACACAGGGAGAGCAGGGTTCTGGAGACTGGAGAGCCCAGGGATTTACCCAACGGGAGGTGGCCTGGAGGAGGGTGGAGGGCAGAGCTGCAGGGCTGTGGGAGGGGGGCCATCCAGGTGCTGTTGGTGCTGGAGAGGGAACCTGGTCGCAGGGGGAGGGTGTCGCTGCAGGGGAGGGGGAGGCTGGGAGCAGTTTCTTTGACTTTGGGTCTTGTATGTGGGCAGTGCACACAGGCGCACCACCACCAGGCTGCAGGCGGGCGGCCGAGGGCACCCGTGGAGGGCACACAGGGAGGTGCTGCGGTGTCCAAGCCAGCCCGGACATGCTCGTGGGAGTGCACGGGCAGTGGCCATGGCGTCCTGTGCCGGAGGCTGTGTGGGGCTAGAGGACAGGGTGGACGCTGGGCCTCTGATAAGGGCTGCACTTCCTCGTCTGCTGGTGCTTTCCTAGCCGGCAGTCAGAAGTCCCTCAGCCTTGCAGAGGTCAAGGGAGAAGCTGAGCAGCCACACAGTGGGCCGGCTTCATTGACTTGGCACACCCAGGAGCCTTGGAAGGCATCGGGCCTGGTTAGGCATGGATGGCTCTCCTGCGCCCCCTAGAGGCCAAGTGAATTTGCACACCTTTGCTTTGCTCTCCTGGGGAGAAGGGGCCAAGAACCCCGGCCTCCTGTTTTCCAAAACCAGGAGCAGCTGCTGGCGCAGGGGCCACAGATCATCAGGGCCAGGAAGAGAAAAGAAATCAGTCAGCTCATATGCAGGATTTCAAAAACTGATTTTGAACAGCAGTCTACGTCTAGAATTGTCTTCTCCACAAACAGATCTTTCTAAGCGTGAGTCCCTTTCATTCTGTTTTTTTAAAATTTTGTTTACGTATGATGGAGACCCGGGCCTCTGTCATTCTGACCCTCACACTCGGCGCCTCTGCATGGGAGCGGAGGGTCACGGCCGCGGCAGCCTGGCGGTGACAGCCCGTCTAAGGCAGTGCTACTCTGCAGCCCCCGTTGTCCTGCTAGGAGTGACCGGGTCTCCCGATTCACGAGACTCGCCCAACTCTGACAATGGCGACTCATTTGTACCTCTGCGAGCTGGCACGTCATGCACATTCCCACGTCATGCAGTCCCAGGGGAGAGTTTGCAGTGGGGTCCAACCAGCAGGCCTCGGACGTGGCCCAGCCCCTGGTTTCCCTGGCTTCCAAGGGTCAGAGGCAAAGAGGACACGCGTGAGGCCACCAGTGCTGACCTGGGAACCGCACTGAATCCTCCCCAGCCTCTGGCCGTGCCAGAGACTGCCCAGCACTGATGTGCACTTCCTAGGGAGCAAGAAGGAACTCGCCGAGGGTCCTCTCAAGCCGCCTCCAGAGAGCCCACACTCGGCGCGCCCGGCTTCACCTGCTCCTCGCTTCTCTCCCAGCACTGGCCCGTGTTTCTGGAGGTGAAGGACCTGCTGACGCTGGTGCCGCCGCTCGTGGGCCTGAAGGGGAACCTGGAAATGACGCTGGCCTCGCGACTCTCCACGGCCGTAAGTTGACCCCTGCACGGCCACGGCCGCCCTCAGCCCGGGGATGACGCCTTGCCATCACCGTCCACTTGCCGTGATTGCAGTGGGCGGGCTGCGCTCTTGGAAGCGACAAGGGGTCAGCTCCTGCCTGGGGGTGCCGTCTGTGGCCTCCTCCCCGCTCCTCCTCCTGCCTGCCCATAGCTGGACAGGACAGGGGCTGGGAGCTCAGGTGCCTGTAGTTCCTGCTCTCTCTGGAGTGTCAGCTGACAGTGCATGCCCTGTGCACCCCGGAGTCTGTGTGCTGCCCTGCTCCCCGCCAGCCCTCTGGGCCCCGGCCCAGCTCCTGCCCACGGTCACCCAGCAGGGCCGGTGAGCACTACAGGCCTAAGGGAGGGTTTCACACAGGAGCTAGGCAGCGTCAATCACCCCAAACAATCTCTTCCCCAGACTGCTTCCGGGGTGTCCTGGCCTTGGGCCACCCCCTCTGAGCTCGTCACCAGCACAGCTCCCAGGGTTGCCCACTCTGGGCGTCTCTCCGCACTGTCCCTGGGGTTGGAATTCCATTCTTGCTGTTCTAGGAGATGCTTCCCCACCCTGCTCACCTGCTCCCTTGGCATCCACAGCACCGGGGGTGGGGGAGGGGAGGGTGTGAGAGCTGCAGAGGCCCCCAGAGACGTGCAGGTGGGTGGTCCCTGGAACCTGTGCTTGTGACTGCGCAGGGAGGAGGGGTCTTTGCAGGTGGGATTGCCTTGAGGACCTGGGCATGGGTGCGTGCCCTGGGTCATCCCCGTGGGCCCCGTGTGGCCTCAGGGCCCTCAGGGGAGGTAGATGGAAGAGCGAAGGGCAGGTGATGGGAGCCCAGCCCCAGACCCTGGCGCGGAGGAGCAGCTGGGAAGGGTGGGGCAACAGCCCCTCCCCGGGGCTCTGCAGGGAGGCCATTCTGCCCACGCCTGGTTTTTTTCTCCCATGAGTCCTTGCAGGCCCCTGCCTGGCAGAACTGTAAGAGCACAGATTTCTGTTCCTTTAGGCCAGTGGATTTGTCACCGCAGCAAGAGAAAAGTATTGTGTGGGGCTGCTTCGTGCAGAGCCTGCGGGACCTTGAAGTGCTGTGAGCACCCCTGCACACAGGCGCACACGTGCACACACGCATATGCACGTGTGTGCGTGGCTGTGGTCAGTGTGTGGGAGGGGGGATGCTGGGAGGAATCTCTCCATGGAGGTTTCAGTGTGGCATTTTTCTTGCATAATGCGTCTTGCTTGCCTTCTGCCTATTTTTTAAGAAAATCTTTACTCTTACTGATTTGAAAGGCACGGACAGACAGAGCTTCCAAATACACATTCCTTCCCCACGTGCCTGCTACAGCCAAGGCTGGGCCAGGCCACAGCCAGCAGCCAGGACCTCAGTGCAGTGTCCTACGTGGGTGGCAAGACCCACATACCTGAGCCGTGGCTGCGGCCCTGCAGGGTGTGCGTTAGCAGGATGTGGCCCCTGGGGCTGATAAAAGCAAGAGTTAAAACCACACACACTGTGCAACTCGGGGGGTGGGAAAGCCCAAGGAGCCCGCTGCCCCCACATGTGTTCCCACAGCCCACCTGAGGTGGGATCACTCACCTGCTCTCAGCAGGAGGGACCCGAGGCCTGGCACCAGCTACGTGAGGTGTCCCCAGCAGCTGATGCACCCAAGCCGACAAAACAGAGCTCCCCTTCTTGTAGAAAGAAAAGCAAGGCCCAAGCTGGATGGCAGGAGGCACTGTGTGTGCTTCGTCCCTCGAGCCCAGGATGGGAGGCCCTCGGCAGCCAGGAAGTGCGTGTTCTTTGAAGTCTTTCCTTACGGGCGTCTCGAGGTTTGCTGTGGCCCGTGGTGCCGAGTTCGGAGCCAGCTGCTGTTGGCGCAGGAGAAAGTTGTGTTTCTGTTCTTGGTTTTGTTTTTTATCCCATGAGAAGAGGGATTTAGCTACGTTCCTTAAGCGATGTTACTGCAGAGGTGGCGGTCTTTGGAGCTCCGTGTAGCTGGAGGGGACGGCAGGGAATTGGCAGTGGGGGTGACCGTGGCCAAAGACCCAGCTTCCCAGCAGGAGGCCTTCCCCCGAGGTCTGCACGTGAGCTTGAGAGTCAGAGATGGCCTTGAACTTAGCGGCAGTGCGCCTGCCCCCGTGTGTGTGCCCCTGAGCGTGTGCGTGTCCGTGTGTGTGCTCACGGGTGGGACGCATGGGAGTAGGGCCCGGCTTTGGGCCCGGCTGGAGCCCTTTTTCTGCTTTGTTCTCCCCCCTAGGCCAACACCGGACAGATCGATGACCCCCAGGAAAAACACAGACTCATCAGCAGCAACCTGGCGCTTGTGCAGGTGAGGCTGCTGGGGGAGGCGGGGGGGGGGCCTGCAGGCCAAGTGTACCCCAGCTTTCAGGACTGGTGACCTCCTGTCTACCCCACGGCCACCAGCTGGCATGGGGACCCAGCTGCCTCCGGGCCACCACTGCGTGCAAGGTCCCCCGGCCCCCTCTCCCTTCTTTCCTGGTGACATCTTCAGGGATTTGCTGATTGAGTGGTACTCCCAGGAACCCCGAGGCCCGCCTCACGGCGCAGCAGGTTAAGCCGTGGATTGCGATACAGGCAACCAGGATGGGAGTGGGAGTTTGGGTCCGTGCTACTCTGCTACGGACCCAGCTTCCTGCTGATGGCCTGGGAAGGCAGCGGAGGATGTCCCAAGTGCTTGGGCCCCTGCACCCATGTGGAGACCCCATTGGAGTTCTTGGCTCTTGGCTTTGGCCTGGTCCAGCTTTGGCTGTTGTGGCCATTTAGGGGAGTGAACCAACACGTGGGAGATGGTGTGTGTGTATGTGTGTGTGTCTCCCAGTCTCTTTGTTGTTCAGCCATTCAAGTAAATATATAAATAAATCCATCTTTTTTTAACAAAATTCCTGGAAAATGGAATTGAAATATATATATATATTTTTTTATTTTTTATTTTTTATTTTTTGGTTTTCTGGGAACCCGTGCATCATTTGTTCTTCACTCCATTTTCCAGGAGCTCTTAGAAGGCCCCCCATCCTTGTTCCTCCATCCCTGGCAGCCACGCGGTGCTCACAGCTCCTCTTTGCGCTGTGTGGCTGTCGGAGTACCTGTCCCGCTGGTGGTCCTTCCTGCGCTGGCCTGTAACCACGCTCTCCCCTTTCCTCCTGGGCGCTGGCGGCTCCTCCCTGCCTGCCCAGCCCCCTCCCTCTTCCTCCTCAGCCTCTGGGAGACGCGTGCATACTGCTTATTCCTCAGAACCTCCTGCCAGACCCTCGAGGGGCTGAGGTCTCACCCTGGAACTTATTACACAGGCTGCAGCCCGGGGCGGGGGCATGGGGAGGAGGCTGGTGGCTGCAGCTGCACAGCAGGCAGGTGCATCCCAGGGCCTTGGGGCCCCTGTGTGGCTGTGTGTCCCCACTGTGAGGCTAGCAGGACACCCACTTGGCGTTCTCACCTGGGTTCCGGAACCCCTCGTGTGACTTTCCAGGTGTCTCCTCTCCCTGTCCCAGAGGCAACCCCCTCGCCCACCCTCCTCATGCTCCCCTCCCTCTGTGGTCCCCAGCTCTGCTCTCCTGGGAGCCAGAAGCCGAGGGGTCTCGGGCATCACCCCAGTGTCTGTGAAATGGGCCGCAGAGGTTTCGCTGGTGTGTGTGTGGGGGTGGGAGGGTTGGGGGGATGGCGTCTGCTGGCACCGACTGCCCTAGGGGCTTCCCAGGTAACCAGGTTGGGACCCTGCGACCCTCAGCCACTGCTCACCCCTCGCCCTGAGCGGCCGGCCATGTGCTGTCCTTGATTCCAGCCCTGCCCCCTCCCTTCACCTCTCCTCGCCGCCTCTCCCCTCTGCCCCGTGACTACAGCTCCATCCCCAAGTTCCTCCTCTGCTCAGCCACCTGCTGGCCTTTTCTTTATTCTTGAAAATATTTGTTTATTTGACCACACTCAGCCCCTGGTTCCCGCCCTAAGTGCCTGCACTGGCTGCGGCTGGGCCGGGCCAACCACAGCTGGGAGCTGGGGCCCCAGCCAGGTCCCCCGGGGGTGGGAGCCCAGGCACTCCAAGATGGCACCTGGGCGTCTGAACTGCGAGGCCAGGTGCCGGCTCCGCAGCTGTTTCTTGTCTGCAGTGGCTGTGCATGTGTGCGCCCGGAGATAATACCAAAAGAGGTGGCCTCACAGTTTTTTTACACCAAAAATAAATGTGTGTTTTATGTACCATCTCCGTGAGCTTTATGAAGTACCGTATTTCAAAGTATCATATTTGTATGTATTAGTTTTCTGTGTTTTTAATTTTTTTTTTAATTTCAGAATCTAACAGAGGCAGAGACCCACAGGGGAGAGAGGGAGAGGGGGAGGGAGAGGGGACAGCTGGCTCCCATCTGCTGGTCTGTAACCTGCACCTCGCTCTTTTTTAAAATTTTTTATTTATTTATTTTTGACAGGCAGAGTGGACAGTGAGAGAGAGAGACAGACAGAAAGGTCTTCCTTTGCCGTTGGTTCACCCTCCAATGGCCGCTGAGGCCGGCGCGCTGCGGCCGGCGCACCCCGCTGATCCGATGGCAGGAGCCAGGTGCTTCTCCTGGTCTCCCATGGGGTGCAGGGCCCAAGCACTTGGGCCATCCTCCATTGCACTCCCTGGCCATAGCAGAGAGCTGGCCTGGAAGAGGGGCAGCCGGGAAAGAATCCGGCGCCCCGACTGGGACTAGAACCTGGTGTGCCAGCGCCGCTAGGCGGAGGATTAGCCTAGTGAGCCGTGGCGCCGGCCTGCACCTCTCTCTTAATAATGACTTCATGAATGAAACTGCGTAAGAACAGAGTATGGGAGCTGGCAGGCATAAGGATCAGCGATCTTTATCCTGGAAAATACTTCCTGGTGCTTGTACACATATGCAAATGTCTCTCTGGGAAAGGCACCAGATTGGAAGGCATATGGACCAATCACAGCCAAATTTGTGATTCCCATGGAGGAGGCGGGGCAGGGAGGGCAGGGAGCAGCCATAGCCACCTAGGGGAGCCGCCTTCATGTTGCTGACTTTTGCCTGGCAGGTGCAGGCCACGGTCGTGGGGCTCCTGGCCGCCGTGGCCGCCCTGCTGCTGGGCGCTGTGTCTCGGGAGGAGCTGGACTTGGCCCCCATGGAGCTCCTGTGTGCCAGCAGCGTCGTCACTGCCTTCCTCGCCGCCCTCGCCCTTGGTGAGCTGCCCAGACCCCGGCCTCGGTCCCCTGTGCACAGCTGTGGAGTTGGGAGCTCCGGCCTCACCTGCTGCAGGGCTGGGGAGAGCCTGCCGGGTCTTCACCGCCCACTCATGCCTCCCTACCCCGTCCTGTGCCCCTGGGAAGGCCTGACCTTGGTCTCCATGCTGAGTGTGCTGCCTCCAGTGTCCAGGGTTTATGTGTCTGTTCAGCCAGGCTGTCCTCAGGGACCTGGACACTGTGCGTGGATTCTGTGCAGGCCGGCAACGTGGGGAGAAGGGTCATGGTGAGCTCCCATACCCCTCTTCAGAGAGACAAAGTGCCACAGCCCGGGGCTTCCACACCTCGGACACCGAGCCCTCGCGGGGCTGAGGGTTGAGTGACTGTGTCTTTCTCATGGTGCCGGGGGTGGGGGGTTGGGGAGGACGCACCTGGGGTCTCGTCTCAGAAGGCGCGGATCCCATGTGTGAGAGCACTGCCCTCAGGACCCCCTCACCTCCCCCAGCCCCCTGCGAACGCCGTCACTCTGGGGGTGAGGTTTTCGGTCCCTGGACTAAGGGGACACAGACCTCCCCCTGCTGCGTGCTCTCTCGGGAGCGCTACCTCGCCACGCCCCCTGCCCGTGGTGGCGCTCTGTCCCCCTGTGCCCTGGGGAAGCTGACGTCATGGACCCCTTGCTGGCGTTCCCGTGTCGCCTCCCTGCGGTGAGGTCAGCCCCTCCACCCACTGCGCCTGTCCCCTGCTGTCTGGGGGCCTGGGAGAGAAGGGCTGACTTGTCTCTGGGGCTCCCACACGAGGTGGGCTGCTGTGGGACCCCCCGCCCCCGGCCCTGGGCGTTGGAGCTGTAGTGGTTGCCGGGCATCTGCTCTGGGCCTGCCTGGGCACGTGGGTCACTGGTCACTCTCCCTGACCACACCTCTCAGATAATCTCCATGCTTCACCGTGGACCGCAGTCCCATTGGCTTCGAGTGCTTGTCCCCTGCCCGACAGGCGCTGGGTGCAGTGCTCCGCTCCCTGGCTGCTACCCCGGCAAAGGGTTATTGGCAGGATTCTCCAACCTGCCAGGCAGGCGATCAACTCGGCATGGAGGGTCGGGGGCCCAGACGAGTGCACAGTGTCTGTCCAGACTGCGTTTTCCGGGGTTGGACCACGTGCTGCGGCTGGCTGCAGGTCATGGCGCTCATGTGCACAAGATGGTGGCCGCCACGCCCCCGTGTGGTCAGAGGCGGGGACGCGTGGCTGTGCTCGGCCTCCTGGAGGCTCAGCAGGCAGCCATCGGCTCACAGCGCCACCTAGTGGTTCAAAAGGCCGGCCAGGGCTCTGTCGGACCTTGCAGAGAACACCCCTCCTGGCTCCCATTTAACAGATGGGGAAACTGAGGCACAGAGATGGGGTTAAGGTCAGCAGGGTGAACATCACGTGTACTCCAAGACGTTCAGAAACGTGGCGGGTGGCTCGCTTGTGACACAGAAGTGGCTGCAGGCGTCCCCGGCTCCGTGGTCGCTGCGGGATCGTCCCCAGCTCAGCTGCGCAGATTTGGGTTCTTGCAGACCTGGCGCTCCCAAGGGAGGTGGAGGTCCTGCGGCCTTGTGGCCACAGAGGGCGCAGACAGGCGGGTGGTGCCGGGCGGAGGATGGGTGAGGGGATCCTGGACCCTGGGTAGAGCCGGAAATGGCAGCAACCAGGACCAAGAGCCGCTTCTTATGGAACGAAGGGCGGGTCCCGGCTGTCGCTGCTCTGGGGCCACCTCTTCACCTGCCCCATTCACAAACTGGACTCTGACCCTCCCAGGCCTCGGGTGCACTGGAGAAATTCAGGAGCCTGGGCAGCCTGGCTCGGTGTCGAAGCCTGCGTGGACGGAGCCCAGCGCGGAGCAGCTCCTGGCTGCCTGCGCCCGAGACCCCTGTGGGTCTGCACCTGTGCAGGGCCGGCTGGCTGGGCTGACCCCTGCTCCCCCTGCCGCCCTCCACAGGCCTGCTGATGGTCTGTATAGTGATTGGCGCTCGGAAGCTCGGCGTCAACCCAGACAACATCGCCACGCCCATCGCGGCCAGCCTGGGCGACCTCATCACGCTGTCCATCCTGGCCTTGGTCAGCAGCTTCTTCTACAGACACAAAGGTAAGGAGGGCTCCGGGGGGCAGGGGCTCTGGGTCAGGTCACCACCAAGGCTCAGGGCAGCCCGGGGCTCCCGGCCGGTGGCACTTGGTGAGGCACAGCGTCCGCGGCATGGAGCCTAGGGCGCCACGGAGTCCAGAGTCGTCCTGTGTCAGCGGGAGCCCGAGGCCATCGGGCGAGTCCAGGGTGTCCCAGGGATGCGACCTGCATGGGGCAGGGCATTCATTGCTCCTGGAGGATTTGCATCTGTGAGGAGGGAGCACCAGGGCCTGAGGCTGCCCTGGCCAGGGTGGGTGGGGGATGGGGGGCAGGTGGCGCCAGCTGTGGAGAAAGTGCCCTGGATCTCAGCAAAGCTGCAGTCTGTGTGCGCCGTGGGGTGTGCGGGCCCTGGCACCCCCGTGCCCGGCTCCAAGCCCTCTCCTTGCCATGCTGGGTGCTGCCTGCCCACAGCCGTGTTTAACCCCCTGGGGCCGTCTCGGCGCTCACCCAATTGGCAGCAAAGAAAGATCTCCAGGAATCCAGTGCGATGACCCAAGTTCACTTTTAAGCCAGATTGAATCTAAAACCAGAGTTTGCCGGGGCACTGTATTCTATTTACAAGAAAGATGAGAATTGGGGCCTCCCCAGATCCTTCCTGACCTCGCCCTCCGCGCCGTGTGCCGGCTGCATCATGATTGAGTCCCCAAGTCACCGCTGCAGCGTCCCCAGTGGGACCAGAATCAATCCGGTGGGCTCGGAGTGGCTGCCGCCGGGGCGGGCTGACTCCTCCCTCACTGAGCCAGAGGTGGTGTGGGGAGGGGGGGACGAGGAGCCCCAGCCAGGCACTGTGCGCTTTCCCACGCTGGGAAGGGCATGAGGCGGGACTTTGTACAGTGGCCGAGGGTACTCAGAAAACCTGGCCCTGACCCCTGAGGGTCCTCGGGGAGGGGGCTTGCCAGGCTTGCTGCCCACCTCGTGGGACGGCCACTTCCTCCACGTGGGCACCCGTGGGAGGAGGAGGGAGGGGTATTCCCAGTGGTGCTGCCCTCGTAAGGAGGGTGTGGACGCTTTCCCGTGCCTGGGCACCCAAGTGTTGGGGCCCCCACCAGACGAAGGGTGTACCCCTTGCGCCTGCCCATGGTAGGGAGGGGCCGGGGTAAGAGCGCCCTCTAGAGGAAGCTGGTGTCTCGTTCCACTGGCACGTGGGTTACAGTCACTCACATGCAGTGCGAGGCAGGAAGGGAGTGGACGCGAGAGGGGCCCTATGTGGGGCAAGGTGCAGTCACCAAGCGAGATGGACGCTGGTCACCGCCCAACCACTGGAGAAAATGACGCAAGCAAATGAGAAGTGGGCAGGCTGGCCGTGATCCACGCCCCTCCAAGAGACACAGATGCCCAGGAGGTCACCTTGGACTGGCCTCAGCCAGGAGCGGGGCTGGTGCTGTGTAGCCGGCTCTGGCTTTGCAGGGACCTGGGCTGCAGCCCCGACTTCACCGCCCGCTGCTGTGTGCCAGGCACAGCCACCTCTTTGCCTCCATTCCCACCCAGCGCCTGCCTGAGCAGGGCTGGTGGTCTCCTGGGGTGCGCGCATGCTCCTGACCTGCTCAGGTGTGGACCCGGTAACTAGTCATGCTGTTAGTTATAATAGTGGTGCAGGGGAATTGGCAGGATTGAGAACAGAAAAGAGCTTTGTCCACTTGCTGAATGGGATGTTAAGTTTTTTCTTTAAAAAAAAAATTGATAGAACACTCCAACTTGCTGGTTTACTCTAAGTGCCCGCAACAGCTGCTGTGTCACAGCTAGGAGCTGGGAGCCAAGAACTCAGTCCCACGTGGACGCCAGGAACCCCCTGACAGCACCGCTGCCTCCCAGGGTGGAAGCCAGGGCTGGGATCTGCAGCGAGGCGCTTCCACGCGAGACGTGGGCATCCTGACCTGTGGCTTAGCCACTACAGCAAATGCCCACCCCTGCTGAGAACTCTCTGGAAGGTGTGGTGGGACAGAAGCGTCTCTCAGCCTGCACCCCACCCCACCCACCCCGGACCACGGCCCCACCCCAGGCCAGGGCCACACCAGCCTCAGCCGGCTGAGCTGCGTGTGCCCCCTCTCTTGTAGACAGCCAGTACCTGATGCCGCTGGTGTGCGTGGGCTTCGTGGCGCTGACCCCGCTGTGGGTGCTGATCGCCAAGCAGAGCCCACCCATCCTGCAGGTCCTGAAGTTCGGGTGGTACCCCATCATCCTGGCCATGGCCATCAGCAGGTGCGTGGGAGCAGCAGCACCAGCCCCGGCACCGCCTCTGCCTGGGAGCCACAGAGCCTTGCGGGGGCGGGGGGCACTCAGTGCCTTGGGGCTGTGACTGGTGGAAGACGCGGCTGTGGGCTCCTGCACTAACCCCAGGTGCTGGCTGGGGCGTAAGCTCTTCACGTCCTTATTTTTAAAAGGTTAGTTTACTCATTGGAAAGGCAGAGTTAAAGGAGGGAGGGAGAGAGCTTCCGTCCACTAGTTCACTTCCCCAGTGGCCACAGCTGCTGCAGCTGGGCCATACTGAAGTCAGGAACCTGGAACTCAGGGTCTGCCACGTGGGTGCAGGGACCCAAGTACCTGGGCCGTCTTCTGCTGCTCTCCCAGGCGCAGGGCAGGAAGCTGGATCAGAAGTGGAGCACTGGGTCTCCATGTGGCACTCTGGATACCGGTGTCTCAGGCACAGGCTTAGCCTGCTGCACCACAACGCCAGCCCCTCTGTGCTCTCTTTTAGCAAGAACCCTCACCCTTATTTGTTCTCAGAGAAGCTGCCCTGTTTCCAGTGGCCAGAGCCCCAGGGGGCCCTGGAGAGCCCAAGTGGGGAAAAATCAGAGCCCTGGAGCCCCCATGTCCCGCCCTATTGCTGCGGGACAGTAGCTTTTCCCATCCATGCTGGCCTAGACCCCTGCCCTGTGCTCCCTGAGAACCGGGAGTGCTTGCATGACAGCTCCATAGAGGGTGACGTCCTATGGGTCTGCTGGACCAGCTCAGACCCAGGGTAGCGGTGGAGATGGCAGAGCACATGCAGGGGGCAGAGGACCCCAGGGAGACCAGCTTGGCCGCTGCGGGTGCTTTGTGCAGGGGCAAGGAGGGGGGAAGCCAGGGTGTGTGTGCAGAGGAGGCCGGCAGGGCCGAGCCCGGGGCCGCTCACTGACTGTCCGCTCGCTGCTCTCTTGCCAGCGTCGGAGGCCTCATCCTGAGCAAAACCATTTCTAAGCAGCAGTACAAGGGCATGGCCATCTTCACGCCTGTCATCTGCGGTAGGTACAGGGGTGTGGCCCTGGGGTCTCTGGGTGGGGCCGGAACTGCAGACTTGAGCGGCCGCTGGGCAGCCGGACCCTGGATGGATGGCTGGACTGGGCTTTCTTAGCTGGGGGGAGGCCCTGGGTGCAGCTCCGGCCGCCTTGGCAGCTCACACACGGCTCCGCACACGCGCAGAGAGGCATGGGCCCTCCCCACAGAAACACGTCCCAAAGGGGGCCAGAAGTCCACAGCCCCCCCCCCCACTTCCCTGGCCCCTGCAGACTGAGTGGGGCCCTTGGAACCGCTCTTGTGGGTTTAGAAACAAAAACAAAACCTCAGATGTTTGCACGTCAACATGTGGGTTTCTGTTGTCAGGAAAATGAAGACTTGGCCATAATGGGTTTGTATTCTCGGCGCAATAACTCACAGTGCTTTCCCGTGAGCCCCAGTCCACACCGTTCCCTGTTGTCTTCCACTCGGCCCCCTTAGCTGCCTAACGATCTGGACAGGGTATGTGGGCAAGCCCACTGCCAGGCAGTAAGGCGCGGTGGGGAGCAGGGCACGCTGCAGATGACTGTCCTTATCCAGAGGGGGTGACGCCTGCCTGGGCAGCCGCAGCCCACGCAGGCTTGGGGGACAGACAGCCAAGCCGACTTGTTCAGCAACGCTGGGAACGTGGGTGTGGCCTGGTTCATTAGTGCTGTGGATCAGCCCAAGGTGTTTTCTGCCTTCGCTTTTCTAAACTCACATGTGCCAAGCGCAACAGACCTGTGACCGTCCTCGGCCCTGGCAGCTGGTCCTGCCCGCCAGGTGACAGGCACACATCTGGCCCCGCTAGGGCTGGTTCTCCCTGGAGCAGCCCCGCCCAGAGGGCACTGTCGCGCTGGCAGCTCTGGTCTCTGCCACCCCTGAGGCCGGCTCTGGCCTCTGTACCCCCGTGGGGACCAGCACCTCATGCCAGGCGAGCAGGTTGGTGATCCTGTGGGCCTGCTGCCCTGCTGGGTCCTGTCTGCGTCAGTCTTCCCGGGGCCCCGCCCTCCTGTCCCTTCCCAACATGCGGCCTGCACGCATGGACCCAGAGTGTCTGTGAAAGCGGGGTCAGCCCTGGTCATTTGGGGGCCCTAAAGAGGGACCCATGCAGCAAGCAAAGAGCAATTGGGTGGCAGAAAATGCCTTTTCTTTATCTTATTTAAAAAAAAAAAGATTTATTTCTTTATTTGAAAGACAGAGTTGCAGAGAGGCAGAGAGAGAGAGGTCTTCCATCCACTGGTCCACTTCCCAGATGGCCGCAACGGCTAGAGCTGTGCTGATCTGAATTCAGGAGCCATGAGCTTCTTCCAGTTCTCCCACGCGGGTGCAGGGGCCCAAGGACTTGGGCCATCTTCCACTGCTTTCCCAGGCCACAGCAGAGAGCTGGATGGGAAGTGGAGCAGCTGGGACTTGAACCAGCGCCCATATGGGATGCTGGCACTGCAGGCAGCAGGCCCAGAAAACACCTGTTCTTCATGATGTCCCTGCCACTCTCCCCCTCCTGCCTGGCCCTGCTACTGTTCCCTTCCCTCCCCCTCCTGCCTTGAGGGGAAGAGATCCTTGGTGTTGCCCAGTATTCTGGTTTGTGTCTGGCTCCTCTTGGCTCCTCTGGCCTTGAGGCCCTGACGCTCGCCCGGAGTAGCCCATCAGGCTCCTCTTGCACCTGTCCATCCCACCGCCCCCTTCCCTCCAGCCAACAGGTGCTACCGAGAAACTGCTTCGGCAGTCACAGCTCCTCACCTTAGGACACGCCAGCTGTCGAGGTGACGCAGTGCCCACCCCAGTACCCCAGTCGCCAGGTCGGGCCACCCACACTTGGTGCCAGAAAGATTCATGGTCGGGCAGGAAGCGAGGAGAAGATACCAAGTGCTATGTCAGTCAAAGAAGGCCTCCTGGAGGAAGTGGGCTTCACAGTAAGGGACAGCAGCCAGAGGCTGGTGGAAAGATGGGGAGACGAGGTTCGTTCCGTGTCCGCAGGTGTCGGCGGCAACCTGGTGGCCATTCAGACCAGCCGGATCTCCACCTACCTGCACATTCGGAGCGCCCCTGGCGTCCTGCCGCCCTGGATGAAGAAGTTCTGGCCCAACCCCTGCTCCACGTTCTGCACCTCAGGTGGGTCTGCTGCGACCAGCTTGGGCGTCCGGTGTTCCGAGGCGCGGATGCCTGGGGGCCGTCCTGACCCACAGCGCGTGTCACCTTCCTGGCCCCAGCGCCCTGACTCCGGGCTCTGCCTTTCTGGCGCTCGGTGGCCCAGAGCTGGCCCGCAGGTGTCCCCGGTCAGGTGGCACTGCTGAGCGAGGAGCCCAGCCAGCACAGTCACACGTGGTAACGTGTTCCCCGACGCAGCAGCGTGGGGTGCGGAGAGAACCCTGGAGCCCACAGGCAGGCAAGGGTCTGGACACTCCCCTCTGAGGCCGAGCAGGGCTGGGGGTGGGGAGGGATGTGTGGGCCAGAGCGAACAGCATGAGCAAAGGCCTGGGGGTAGGAAGGGGCCTGACAGCCGTGAAGGACCGAGAGGCCAGACCCGGTCCCACGAGCAGGAGAGGGTGGAAGACGCTGAGCCAGGGACAGGATGAGGGGCTCAGACAGGGGCTCGGAGCCAGAGGAGGGGGCCGGCTGCGGTCCTGAGAGCCGCTGGGAGCCGTCGAGGGGTTTTTGGGTCTTTCCTGCCATTGTGTACTCTTGGTTCAAGAACTGCCTTCGGCTGTCGTCCAGGACGTCCCTGCGGGCGCAGCACTGACGGGTTTTCCACGCAGCTCACACACCGGCTGGGGGCGCCCGGTCCCTGTCAGAGTGGGTGGGTTCCAACCCCAGCTCTGCCCCTTACGACAACTTCCTGCTAATGCAGACGCTGGGAGGCAGCTGCGCCAGCATGGGGAACTGGGGCGCTGCCACCTGTCTTGGGTTCCTGGCTCCCAGTTTTGGTCTTGGCCCAGCCCTGGCCGTTGTGGGCAGCGAGGGAGTGGACCAGCACACGGGAGTTCTCTCTTTGTGTCTCCTCCTGTCTCTGTGCCTCTCAGATGGATAGGTATTCGGGGTTGTAGGCGTTTTTCGCCCTGGGGCAGTGTGCCACCTCTTCCCGGCCCCGGCGTCTGGTGAGAAGTCCGCTGGCATTTGCAGCGTCACCGTGCGAGTGCGGTGGTGTTTCTCTCTTCCTTAATTCAGAGATTGTCTGTGTTCTTGAGAAGCTGGATTATTACATCAGTTAATGTGCGCTTTCTTTTTTTAATGATTTCTCTTACCTGGGCTTTGCCAAGGCCCTTGAATTCATAGCTTTAGAGCTTTTTCCAAATTTGGGAACTGTGGGCCACTGTTTCTTCAAATACTCTCTCCTTTACCCCTGATATCCTGGTGGCGCCAATGCTGGGTCTCTTGGCACAGAGCCACCAGCCTGGAGTGGAGGCTCTGCTCGGGGATTTTGCCTTTTTTTTTTTTTTCACTAAGTTCTGCGATTTTTTTTTTTCAAGCTCGTTTGCTTTATCCCTTGTCTTCCCCTCCCTGCATCTGAGTCTATTCCTTGAGCTCCTTCTGCCCCCCCCCTTTTTTTTTTCTCCTTTGCTTCTGAAATTTCCATTTGGTTCTTTGTGTGCGCTGCTTCCTGTCTGGGGCTTTCTGTCTCTTTTCACCTCTCTCCCGTGTGTTCATGATGCTTCCTTAGAGTCACTTCCAGCGTCCGCGCCGTCGCCGTGTAACGCCTGCTGGGTCACCGTGTGTCAGCCACGTGGAGGATTTTCCGACTCCTGCCTTGAACAGGGATGTGGGAGAGAATGTGGCCATGTTGGCCGTGCGGGCGTAACGGCACCGCATTACCCTGTCGCAGTGCGCGAGGGCCTGGAGTGTACTGAAGTCTTCTGTCCCACCCTCAGCTTCAGCTGGTCTCTACCCTGAGATGTCGGCTCCCGGAGGGGAGGGGAGGGGAGGGGAGGGGAGGGGAGGGGAGGGGAGGGACGGTCCTTGGCTTCTAGAACCTGCCTTCCCCCAAGCAGGTGCCCAGGGAACAGCTGCGGAGGAAGTGCCCAGGTGGACGGGGGCGCCTCACTGGACTCTCACGTGGCCTCTGCCGCCGGGCCGGGCCTGCAGGCTTCTTGGTTCTGTGTCTTCCAGAAGTCAACTCCATGTCAGCCCGAGTGCTGCTCTTCCTGGTGGTCCCGGGCCACCTGATTTTCTTCTACATCATCTACCTGGTGGAGGGCCAGTCGGTCACAGACAGCAAGAGCTTCGTGGTGCTGTATCTGCTTGCGGGCCTGATCCAGGTAAGCAGCACTGCGTGGGGTGGAGCAGGCTGGGTTGGGGGTGCCTGGTGGGCAGGGCCCCCGTCTTCCGAAAGAGCAGTCAGCTCGTTCAAGTCCAAGAGTCCAGACAACAACAGCTACTGCACACTGCATGCTACATACTACACGTGCTACATGTCACAAGGTGTATGCTCCATACTGCACACCACATGCCATACATGGCACACTTATACTACACACCACATGCTACATGCCACACACTGCATGCTACCTGCACGTGCACACCACTTGGTACCCAGTCATCATCAGGGCATTAGAGAAGTGAGCCCAGGGAACCCCCCCCCACACACACAGACTCCCAAGTTGTGTTTACATTGCTGTGGGCAGGCACTAGCCACGCCCATTGTGGTTTTTTTTTTTTTTTGAAATATTTATTTATTTATTTGAAAGAGTTACAGAGTTACACAGAGAAAGAGGAGAGTCAGAGAGAGAGAGAGAGAGGTCTTCCATCCAATGGTTCACTCCCCAGTTGGCCACGACAGCTGGAGCTGCACTGATCCAAAGCCAGGAGCCAGGAGCTTCTTTTGGGTCTCCCACATGGGTGCAGGGGCCCAAGGACTTGGGCCATCTTCTGCTGCTTTCCCAGGCCATAGCAGAGAGCTGGATTGGAAGTGGAGCAGCCGGGTCTCGAACCAGTGCCCATATGGTATGCCGGTGCTTCAAGCCAGGGTGTTAACCTGTTGCGCCACAGCGCTGGCCCCCTAGTGTACTTTAGTGTTGAAGTGACCTGCGGTAGCTTCCATACTTCCAGGGCATGCTGTGCCATCTCGGCACACACACAGTGTAACCGTCATATCCGGGTGATTGGCACACAGGTCCCCACACACGCACGTCATTGCTTTGTACTGGGGACATTCAGAGTTGTCCTTAGAAGTTGTTCCTCTCGCCCAGCTGCACCCCTGCACCCACAAAGCATCCCCTCTCCATCCCTCCTGCCCCGCCCGCTTCCCATGCCGTAGTGGGCACTGTTCTGTTCCCTGCTTGTTGGAGATCAGCTTGTTCCCTTCTGCCTCTAAGTGAGAGCCTGTGGTGTCTGCCGTGGTGTCACACATCACTCTGAAGTCACCTGCTGCCGGACAGCTGAGGCTGTGTCTTGGTGACCGTGAGCAGTGCTACAGAGGGCGTGTGAGTGCTGGTATCTTCTTCCTGGTCACACAGGTGCAGGCCCCAAGGACTTGGGCCATCTTCTGCTGCTTACCCAGGCCATAGCAGAGAGCTGGATCGGAAGTGGAGCAGCCGGGATTCGAACCGGCGCCCATGTGGGATGCTGGCACTGCACATGGTAGCTTAACCCACTATGCCACAGTGCCAGCCCCTGGAAATCTTGACTTTAAATACGTGGGCTTATTTCTGGCATCTTTATTCTGTCTCATTGGTCCTGTATCTGTTTTTAAACCAGTCCTGTGCTGCTGTTTGAAGTCAGGTATTCTAAGAGGTCTTGCTTTGTGTGTTGGCTTAGGGTTGCTTGGGCTGTTCAGGGCCATTTGTGGTTTCATACAACTTTTGTGAATGATTTGTCTTAGTCTCTGAACAGTGTTGATGCTCTCCTGATAGGAGTTGCACTGGACCTGCAGGTTTATTTGGGTACCATGGATGTTTTACTACCATTCTTCCGATCCATGAACATGGGCTGTCTTTCCATACATTGGTGTTCTGTGCATCTTCCTTCATCAGGGTTTTAGAGTTTTCCCTGTAGAGATCATTCATAGCCTTGGTCAAATCCACGCCTCACTATTTCACTTCATTTCATTTTTAAGCTAATATGGATGGGATTTCATTCTTGGTTTCTGTTTTAGTGGCTTAATTATTGGAGTATAAAAAAAAAAGTATGCCCTGCAAATTCCTGATTTCATTTATCAGCTCTGACAGTGTTTTGGAGTCGGGTTAGAGACTTTAGTTATAGACGTGTTGTCTGCAAACAGGGATAATTTGACCGCTGCTTTCCAGTTTCGAAGCCTTGTATTTATTTCTTTTGCCTTAGTGCTCTGGCTAAGCTTTGCAATACTGTTTGGAACAAGAGAGGAGAAAGTGGATACCCTTGTCTTGTTCCTGATCTTTGTGGAAATGGTTTCAGCTTTTTCCCATCTGGTGTTACAGAGTTTGCCATGTATATAAACTGTTACTCTGTTGAGAGACATTCCTCTCTACCTTATTTTTCATTGCTATTAAAATCCTAAGTGGATGTTGAATTTAAGGACTGCTTTTTGTTTGCCTCTGTCAAGACGATCATGTGGTTTTTATGTGTCTTTCCATTGATGTAATATGTTACGTTTGTTGATTTGCAAATGTTAGACTATCCCTGCCTCCATCCCTGGTAAGTCCCACCTGCTCACCGTGTGTGTTCCTTTTATGTGCTGTTGGGCTTGATTTGCTACTATTTTGTTGAGTCTCTTTGCTTCTGCGTTCATCAGGGATACGGGTTTGCAGTTTTCTTGTTAGATGTGTTCTTGCCTGGCTGTGGTTGAGAAATATTTTATCACTGATGTGATCCCAGGGCTTGTTGGTCTGTTTGGGTTTTCGTGGTCCTCATGGCTCAGTTATTTGTGGCCAGACATGGGTCCCTTTGTTCCAGGATTTCCAGGTTGTTCGTATGTAGCTGTTCACAAGAATCCTCAGTGATTTGTTTTATTTCTGAGGTGTCAGTGCAAATACCTCGTCTTTCATTGCTGATTTTATTTATTGGGGCCTTTTCTTTTTCCTGGGTTACTCCAGCTAAGGATGGTCAGTTTTTTCTGTGTCTTTTCAACACCAACTCTTCATCGATCTTTTGTAATTTTTTAGACTCTATTTTGTTTATTTCTGCTCTGATCTGTGGGATTCTGCTAATTTCGGAATTGGTTTCCTTTTTCTATTTACTTCCTGGAGTCATGTCATGCGGTTGCTTATTTGAAATGTGTATATTTTATTAGCACAGGCATATATTGCTATAAACATCCCTCTTAGTACTGCTTTTCCTGAATCCTGTAAGGTTCAGTACATTGTATTTTTATTTTCGTTTGTAGCAGGAAATGTTCGTATTTTCCCTTTCATTTGTTTTTTCCTTGGCCCATCGGGCACTCGAGAGGATGTTGTTTAATTCCCATGGATCTGTGTGCTTGCTGAGGTGTTGCTTGTCCACTGTGGTCAGAGACGGTCCACGCTATGCATTCAGTAGTTTTGAGCTTCTTGGGGTTTTTGGTGGACTAACACATGGTCTGTCCGGAAAAATGTGGCTGCTGCAGCCACGGGATAAAATGCCCTACATGTGTCCCTGAGGTCCTCTTTGACCGTAGAATAGTTCAGCTCTGTTGGTTGCAGGATTTTTTGGTCCATATAAACCGTCCATTAATGAAAGCCGAGCGTTATGTCCCTGGCCGGGGTTGTACCTGAGCCTCGGCCTCCTGGCAGATGGAGTGATGGTTATCTGCTGTCCCTCAGTCCCCCGCGCGGGGCGCAAGTGTCCGGTTGGCGTGTCCGCTTGTCGACTTGATCCCTGTGCCGCAGCAGCGACTCGGCTCTTGGTGCGGGTTCGACTGGAGGCGCGCTTTTCGTGTGTGCTGAGGGCACAGCTGCTCCTGCTCACTTTGGGTCCCGGCCTGGTTTTCCACGGCTTCACGCTCACTCTGCCCACGCGTGCCTCTCCCGGGGAAGTTTCCAGCAGGCAGCCCACCCTTGAGTCTTGCTTTGTCCTGTTTTAACCCTGTCAGCCACTCTGTGTCTTTTGATTGAGGGCTGGAACCCATTTGCATTCGGAGTTACTGGTTGTAATTACAGGATCCCCGTCAGCCACTGCGCTGTATACGCTCTGTTCCCGTTTTCCGCTTCTCTCCTGCTGTTCGCTCTGGTGGTTTGGTGACTGGGTTTGCTTCTCTCTGTGTATCTGCTCTGCTGTTGAGTGTTGTATTTCTGTGTGTTTTCGTCATTTGAGTTCGCATCCTTTGCTCCTAATGTGGGACTCCCTAGAGCCCGCGGGGCTGTCTGATGTGAATTTCTGTTTTGTGTTTCTCCTGGAAACGCCTTCCCTCTCCTAGTATCGGAGGTGGCTGTCACCGCACAGGACTTCCTCCCGCTGCTGTGTCCCGGGGTGTCGACCAGGCCGCATTGCCTTGACTCCCCGGCGGGAGCATCGGTGTAGTGCCATGTGGCTTCTTGAGTTGTCATCTATGATGGCCGTGTCTGTCTCAGTGAGGATGCCAGCTAGGATGCGGCTCTTTTACACCCCGTGGGTTTGCTGGCAGCTTGGGGGTGCTGGACCCACCTGCAGGGATGGGGCTCCCATGAGCTCCTGAGGGTTGGGGGGAGGGCGGGGTACCCACGAGTCCACGTGTGGGAGGTGCACAGAGCCCCAGGGTACCAGTGTGGGAGGTAGACAGAGCCCCCGGGTACCAGCGTGGAGGTGCACGGAGCCCCCGGGTACCAGTGTGGGAGGTGCACGGAGCCCCCGGGTGCCAGTGTTGGAGGTAGACAGAGCCCCCGGGTGCCAGCGTGGGAGGTGCACGGAGCCGCTGGGTACCAGTGGGCTCTGGCGGCTGCCCCTGTGACCTCATGGAGCAGAAAAGTCTGCCCCGGTGACACCAGGCGCTGCGGGTGGGCGTGCAGGGCCAGCTCTCTGCTTCCCAGGGCCTCGGCGGGCAGAGCTTCAGGGAACAGTGCGCTCAGCTGCTCCCTGGGGCTGGAGGAGAGGGGCCGGGCCACCCAGCTGCTTCCCAGGGAGCTTGGTGTGCTGAGTCTCTCTACAGGGCTGCTCAGCTGCTTCCCGAGATCCTGGGTGGGTGGACGAGGCTACCTGTCTGTCTCTCAGGGCCTCTGGCGCAAGCTCTCTCTTACAACAAGCAGCTCCCATGGGACCTAGCCCGGACCCGCAAGGCCCGAGCCACTACCCAGAGACAGCAGTAATGGAGTTCTGAGGGTGGCGTCCTCGAAACCTACTTATTCGCCACCAGGCCTCACCCCTGCAAGGAGCCGCACCTCCCCCCTGCCACGCGGGGCCCAGGCTTCCGGCACACAGATCCGTGGCAGACCCCACGAGCGGCGGGACAGCAGGGAGCGGCTGCCATTGAAGCCCAGCGGCTGTTCCTCGCCTGTTCTTGTCTCTCTGACTCGGTCTTTCGTGTCTGCTGGCTGTCGTGACAGGTGACGATCCTGCTGTACCTGGCCGAGGTGATGGTCCGACTGACCTGGCACCAGGCCCTGGATCCTGACAACCACTGCATCCCCTACCTCACGGGCCTGGGAGACCTGCTGGGCACGGGCCTCCTGGCCCTCTGCTTCCTGGTCGACTGGCTGCTCCGGAGCAAGGCAGAGCTGGCCGACCTCTCAGAACTGGCCTCTGGACCTCCCTAGCCGAGCCCAGCCAGCCCTGGTTGCTTAGTAGGATGTTTCCCTCCCCGCGGCGGGTTACAGGACGCAGTGTCTCCCCTGGCCAGGTCCCCGGAGTGGCCTTGGCCGTGGCCCTTCCTTCCTCAGTCTGCTATGGAGACGCACACGCGCTGCGACTCCAGCAGGGGGCGCCGGAGCCCGTGCTGGAACCCTGGAGCCGGGAGTGCCGCTTGGGAGGGTGCGACCCGGGGTGTGTGTCCGTGTGCTGGCTGAGCGTGAGCGTGCGTGCGTGCGTGCCTGTGTGCGTGTGAGTTGGGGGAGTGCCGTGTTCTGGCCCGGTGCAGCCACAGAAGGGGCGTGGCCCAGCTTGGCCCAGCTCTCGTCTGTGCAGTGTGGACTGGAGTGGAGCAGGAGGGGGATCCGTGCTGTCCCCAAGCTCAGGACTCTGCGCCTGGCTTTTCTGCCCTCCCGGCTCTTGCCCCGGGAGCGTGTGCAGCCTCTCAGGGCGGGGCCTGGCTCCCTCCCGTGCCCAGCCTCTCTGCAGCCTCTTAGCCTTGTCACTGCTGTAGTTTACACTTTTTGCAGAATTTGTTGTCAGCAGCACCCTCTGTTCAGTACTCCAGGATCAGAGACGTGTAAAATAAAGGTAGCGTTACGTCTGTCGGGCTTCTCTTGTCTTCAGTGGTGGTTAACGCAGCGTGAGACTACGACAGCGCACACCCCGGGCACTTCTCCCAGCGTCGCCAGGGAGCCTGTTCCAAATGCAAGCTTTCACTGCCGGCAGAAGCCACGCCCCTGGGGCAGGAGCCTCCACGTGGGTTTATGGAGGCGTCACGTGACTTGGCGCTCAGCTGCTGATTCCGTTCTGTCCTCCAAGGCACGCTCCCTTCCTGCTGCTTAGGGGCCCACAGCGACCTCTTCCAGGGCTGGGGCCAGGGACTGTCGCCTGGAGATAAGTAGATGGACACATGTTCACTCACTCGGCAAGTACCGAAGTGGCACCTGTGGCTTCGGTGTCCTGATGGGATGGGGGATGGGGAGGCGCCCTGGGCCTGGGCCTCCCAGGGTAGGGGCGGGCCTGGAGACAACTTAGGATCAGGAGATGAACCCCCGGCCCCCCGCCCTCTTCTCTGGCCGCCGGCTCTTCCCCCGCCGGAGTCTCCCAGGCCAAACCCGACCCGAAGTTCCGTGACTGAGGAACCTTGCTGATGGTCCACGGGAGTCGCCTGGGGCACAGAGCCAGGCCTGGGAGGGGGAGGGGCACTCAGCACAGCTCGGTGCCATGTCTCAGGCTGGGTCCTGGGGCCACACTGGGCAAAGCCCTCATCACCCCTGTCATTAAGCTCTGTTATCAACCCCTTGTACAGATGAGCACACTGAGGCTTTGTGAGGTTTCTGAACTGCCCAGGGCCCTAGGCATTCTGGCTCAGACCCAAGCTATGGGTGCAGTAAAGGAGCTCAGGACAGACTCCCCCGCCCCCCATCAGAAAATGACCTTGGACCTGAGATCCAAGGATGAGTGGGAGTTAATCAGACGCGGTAGGAGGGGCTGGGGGTGCGGGAGCATTTGGGTGGATGGACTTTGTCGTGGATATATGGGAGGCAGGGCCCTGTGCAGGACTGCAGCTTGAGACCCTGCAGGGTTTATTGAGCTGCTGGAGCACAGGGACCCCGCAGTGCCAAGGCAGAGGAAGGGCTGCGGGGAGGGGAGGGAGAGGGGACGGGAGCACACCGTCCAGGAGACCCAAGGGGAGGGGAACGCAGTATCCGATGTCCCTGAGACTCAGGAACGGAAGGGCTTAAGGGTGTGCGTTGGGTTAGGGACGGGGTGAGGGTGTGGGGTCCCGGGTGAGAACCATTGTGAGAGGCTCCCAGCAACAAGAGGCCAGCAGGTGTGGAGCTGAGGCCTGGCGGGGCCTCCCGGGGCAGTTACGCAGCTTGGGAGCTTGGGTCGGCGTGACTGCCCCGCCCCTCTCCAGGTCCTGTGTGTCAGTGAGGGTGGTGTCCAGAGGCAGGGCGTCTGGGGGGTTGCTAGGGTCCCCGAGAGTGCATCTCGGCGCCTCTCTGAGGAGCACGTACGCCTGCTCCCACCAAGATGTGAGGCCGCCCAGGGGGCTCTGGCAGAACCCTGTGCCCTGCTGTGTAGACCTTGTGCCTCCAGAACCAAGGTCAGAATGAGCCTCTTTCTCCGTAGAGTAGCTCGCGTAAGGGCTTCCGTCGCTGTGCTGAGAATGCTGCTCATGGGATTGGGGTTGGGGGAGGTCTGGGTGTCTCGCCTGGAGGTTCCTGTGTCAGCGACTCGGTCCCCAGGGCGGTGCTACCAAGCAAGAAGCCAGGGTTCTGGAGGGAATTAGGCCATGGGGCGACGCCATCTCGCAGGAGCAGGGAGCGCGTCGTGGGAGCGGATCCGTTCCAGGATAACAAGCGTGCACCTGGCCGCTCCTCCCGCGTCTGCATCCTCGCTCGCACCTGTGCCCCTGCCGCACACTGCTGGCCCCCTCTGCGTTCCAGCACGTTGTCACCCAGCAGCGGCCTCGCCCTGGGACACCAGCACCAAGCTGTGGGGACCTGCAGCCACCAGGATCGCGAGCCAGACCAACCCCAGGGGAAGCTGTGCAGCCTCGGGCACTGCGCAACAGCACAGAGGGGCTCGGATGGTGCCGGGGATTGTGGCGGAGCAGGACCGTAAGCCCAGTGTGTCGGCCGGCTGCGTCACCTCCCCCGGTACGGGAGGGCTCCTCGGGAGCAGCCAAGGAGCGCCGCAGCCGCCTTGCCACCGAGGGAAAGGGTTCCCTTGGCCACAGTTCCCCGATTTCCTCTGGTTCTGTTGTCACTTCCCTGTCTACGTCTCTCTGGCACCTGCATCCCGTAGGAACCAATGAAATGGTTAGAAACCAAACCCCTTTGCTGACACCAAGACGACGCCGCATTGGGAAAAGCCTGGAGATTCTTCCTGCCTGATGCTTTGCAATGCAAGCGACTCACAGACACCTAACCCCAAGTAGCTTGAGGAATGCTGACTCTGAAATAGTATTAGGTGGTCTGGAGTGGGGACAAGGGTAGAAGTAGAAGCAGGGACTGAGGCGTCAGGGACGGATCCGCTACGGGAGTGAAGCAGCTGGGCGGACTCAGCCCAGGACCGCGCCTGCTGTGGGTGGACCTGAGGCCGGGCTCTGTTCTTTGGGTTGAGGACAGCACCTGCTGGCACGAGGTCAGTTTCTGGGATGAATTTTTCCTCCCGGCTGAGGTCGTTCCCCGGGGAGGAATTTTTCTGTTGGGATGAGAAGACCATCAGGACTGTGCACGGAGAGCAGTGTGTGTGCACGGCTCTGAGCTCATCCACGGAGGTCGGCCCAGCCAGGAGAGACGTTGACCGGCTGAGCCCTGATGCCGTCCCCTGGGAGGAGCAGCAGGGCTGAGTGGCCACCAGGTAAACTCCATACCTGAGGCTGCCATCATGAGCGAGGAGAGACCCAGGACTGGGGTGAGCTGCAGTCACACCCGGTGTCCAGTTAAACTGTTCCAGGCCGTGCTTGCCCCGAAGGCCAGAGCGTGAGGAAAACCATCTGAGTCAGGGTGAAGGGCAAGATCAAGCTCCTGCTCAAAGCCAAGGTCATGATCAAGCTGAATTTACAGGCAGATCTGACACAGTCTCAGTGATTGGCAGGAAGAAGATGAGAGTTCGAACCAAGGTAAGAGCGAAGGTCAGATTCAAGGTCGCTACCAAATTCAAGGTCAGTTCAAAGGTTATGGTCAAAAATAATTTCAGACTGGGTATATATTTTACAGAGTTATTTATTTGGAAGGTAGAGTGGCAGAGATGGGGGTGGGGGGAGAGAGAGAGAGAGAGGGAGGAAGAGAGCGAGCCGTGTGGGTGGCAGGAATTCAAATACCTGAGCTGTCGCCCACTGCTTCCCAGGTGCATTAGCGGCCGGGACTTAAACCAGCCCTCTAATATGGGATGCAGCTGCCTGGTGGTAGCTTCACCTACTCTCAGAGCTGAATTTCAGTTTGCAATCATGGCTGGACACGTCCTGGGGTCCCCAGCCTCAGTTTGACCTGCACCACAACACCCACCCCTCTGTCTTTTTCCGAATTTCCATCTCCACTTAATTTACCCTCTGTCCTTTCATGTTATCTGCTTTTAAAGCTGTCTGCACATTGGCCATAGTTTTATATTTCCTGTCCGATAACCCCAACCTCTCCAGCATATCCGAGTGTAGATCTGGCACTTGCTCTGTCTACTTCGTCTTTAGTATGTCTTGTGATTTCTTTGTCGAATGTTGAACGTAATATATATAAGGGAACAGGGGTATGTAGCTCTTTGCTGTGAGTTTTTTATGTTAATTGGACCGGGGTTAGGCTGTGTTTGCTGTTTGCTTTTGCAGTAGGTGTCAGAAACTAAAATTTCTTTTCTAATTTTTGCTTTATTTGTGTTGTCTTTGGGGTTCCCTAGAGACGTCTTAAAGTCTGAGTTTTGCAGTTCTTTCTATAGTAGCCTTGGTGTGGTGGCAAGGCGTAGGGAGGGGCCCAGCACTTGATGATTTTGTCTTGGTCTTTTAGCGATCCTTGTGTGCAGAGGGGGCGTGGTGTGTGTTGTGGGCTGGGGGCTCCCAGCTGGCTTCGTGCAGGTTCTCCCTCCATGCATGAAGTTATTCAAAGGCGGAGGCATAAAGACGCACAAGAGAGCAGGATTTTCTCAGAGCCAAACAAGAGTGCAAGCTCAAGAACCGAGCTGTGTGTGAGCAAACAGCCGAAAATACAGAAAGGCCCCAAACAAAGAACAAAAATCACCCAGCAGTGAAAAGCCCTGATAGAGGACAGGAAGCCCGCAACCACGGACAAGCCTTCCCTGTGTGCCCTCTGGAGGCACAGGGGCTGCTGTCTGGGGTAGAGCCCAACTGAATATTCAAAATGGAAAGGAATTAGGGGCGGGGCTTGAGCGCCACCCATTTCTAGGCCCCTTTACGCAAATACCGGAAATGTCGTGGTGTCAGGTGCATGATGGGAGAGGGCGTGCACCCCATGGAAATTCTATTTTGACGACATTATTCCGATGACAGGTTACGGGGGCAGGCAGCAGACACTTCCTGCAGCCAGTGCTGGTCGCACGTTTGCAACCTTGTGGAACTTGTGCTATGAGCAAAGGGGCAGGTTGCTGGTGCGTGGGAGGTGGGCTTACCTGCAGCCGTCCCCCTGTCAATCACCGACCCCGTGGGCGGGCAAGCTGCTGAGATCAGCCATGTGATACGGCTGCCGGTTACTGGCCCTGCCCCCGTGCAGTTGGACAAGGAGCTGTCCAGCAGCGGCTCCGCTGGAGCTGCCAGTCATGGTGCCCCGCTGTCAGGTACTTGAGCCCTCACCCGCTGCCTCCCAGGGTCTGCAAATTGCCTGGAAGCTTTGCAGTCACTTTGCTTGCGTGGCACTTGAATTCCTGGTTCTTAAAATGGAGGTGGAACCGCTACCCTCCCCACTATTTCCTGGCCTGGGGCAGATGGGTTGAGCCTTGGAAAGTGTATTTATTCTGGCCGGTGCTGTGGCTCAATAGGCTAATCCTCCGCCTGCGGCGCTGGCACCGTTCTAGTTCTAGTCCCAGTTGGAGCACCGGATTCTGTCCCGGTTGCCCCTCTTCCAGTGGGTAAAGCTTATACACAAAGCTTAT